AAAAAAAAAAGAATAAATATAAAACAACTAGAGAACACTGTAATATTAAACAATAGAATATAGTCTGCACCATTTTTGAACATTTTCAATGTTCAAACGTTCAAACATCATAGTTTGAACATTTAAATGCTAGTGGAAATCTGAGAAAGTACTCACAAAGCAGAAAGAACTTGAGCTGGGAACACAGCAGGCTGAGTTGTCATATAACAGGCAGACTGCTTCCTACTCTACAGGTACATATAAATCTGCTCTCCAACTGCACAGAAAATCAGGTTCTATCTGACAGTGCTTACTGACTACCTCTTAGGGTATAGGAGACAATTAAAATAATGTCTGTACACTATTTTAATACACAGTACAACATTTTTCAAATCTGCCATAGCATTATATTCTATGTGGACTGAATCACAATGTACCCTGTTAAAAAAAACTGAAGAAGCCTATAAGAAGAGACTATGAAGACTGTTTTTGATATTCTCTCCCTATTTAGATATACTAAGGCCTGCATAGGACAGAAAATGACAACAATAGATGACAGTTCAAATGCTTATTTTGCTAGTCAGGTATTTTTGCCTATCTTGAATTTAATTCTAGCTTTGTTTATTTTGGAAAAAATTGACTATTTTGGCAATACAGAAATAAAGATACAAGAAGTTAAAAGATATAAGAGGTTGAAAGCAGAACTTCCATACTGTTAGTGTCAATCATTCAATACTAACAGACATAAAATATACTTCTGTGAAAATAAAGCCTCAAGCTCAGTTTTTTAAAAAAATATATTTTCAGGAAAAATATTTTATAAAGCAATTACACCTTGCATTTCACAGCACCCAAAGTAGTAGCGTGACATAGCCATGTTGCCAACTACTTCCCATTTATTTTCATCAGGATCAAATCGTTCAATGGTGTTCCCTATCTCAGCTCCAACCCATCCACCTGTAACCAAACAGAAAAGTTACTTCTGGGATAGACAAATCTTATTCATGAAAACACCTTAGAAAACATCTCATCTGACAACTTCATATCATGGATGATTATCACATGGACCAGAGAAGTTATTTGTCCAGAATCACATGGAAAGTGAGAATCTGTGAGTAGAACTTAGGTCTTTTAACTCTCTGCCTAGTTTTCACTAGAGATTTAAAAAACAAAACAACATGGCCTGCCCAGTGGCGTAGCGGTTAAGTGCGCGCGCTCCACTGTGGCAGCCCAGGTTCGGATCCCAGGCGCGCACTGATGCACTGCTTGTCAAGCCATGCTCTGGCGGCGTCCCATATAAAGTAGAGGAAGATGGGCATGGATGTTGGCCCAGGGCCAGTCTTCCTCAGCAAAAAGAGGAGGATTGGCAGATGTTAGCTCAGGGCTGATCTTCCTCACAAAAAAATAAAAATAAAAAACAAAACAACAACAAAAACTTCAACATATTGCATAGGAAATATGGTATTTTCCAAAACTACCTTCTGAAACAACTTCTGCATATTCAGAATGGTTATCCTAATCATGAGATTTAACTAGTCAGCTAAAGTGCTTCAATGGACAGCTCATCTATATTTTATCTCCATCTCCTTCCAAGAACTCCACATTTGACAATATTCCCCAAGTAATACAATTTTGAGAATAAGGATTTATAAAGCTGATAATCTCATACAGACATACAATACATAATAAAATCATATTTGGGGGGTTTTCAGTCATTATTTTATAAAACTAGGACCATATTATGTACATTTTTATTCATTTTTGTTTGCTCATTCGGCAATACCTCAGGAAAACATCTCCAAGCCATTTGTTAGAGCTATAATTCCTTATTTCACATAGAAAAAAAATTTAGGGTCGGCCCCGTGGCTTGGTGGTTAAGTGCACGCGCTCCGATGCTGGTGGCCCGGGTTCAGATCCCGGGCGCGCACCGAGGCACCACTTCTCCG